TAACGGCATGATTACGCATCAACAATCATGCACAAAAACACTCGCACAAATATACAAGTATAAAGCAATGCTCAACAGTACTCACGCAAACGTGCACAAACGCTAATGAAAACACGAACTATAATACTAGGACGCACAAAAACACTCGCACAAAACAACATGCACAAAAATACATGTACAAAACAATGAACAAAAGTACTCACGCAAAAGTGCATGCGCAAAATTACTATCGATAACAATAACTACCATAATAGGACATTATCAACAAACAAGCACAAACATACACGTGCAAAACAATGCACAAAAGTAGTCGTGCGAAAGTGCATGCGCAAAAAATCTAATGAAAACACGAACTAGCATGCTAGGACAAAAATACGAATCAACAAACATGCCAAAAAACACTCGCACAAAACAACATGCTTGAGTTAAAATTAAAATATGTAGGAGATTGTCTAATATTTCAAAATAAGAGGGATATGTATGTGATTAGAACTAATCTCTAAGGCGGATAATCTAATTTGTATGTATACTATTCCAAATTAGAGGGGATCTGACTGTAATTTTGTTAAATAAATGGGAGGTAAGTGTAATTTATTCTAAATTAATATCTATATAATATATAATATATAAAAGTTAATATATATAATTTATAAAAGGTAGTTCCCTCTTCTTATTGTTTTTATTAATGTATATAATTTGTATATAATAATATAACTTAGGGATTATAAGTGACAAACTAAGAGCCCAACTCCTTTGATATAATAAGGGTGGATTCACACCCTTTTGTTTTATTAGTAAAATCCTCTAACTACTAAATTGAGTTAATATTTTTCAAATAATGGAAAAGTGACTAGATCCATCTTTATTAAAAAAAATGCTAGAAGAGTTATCATAAATAGCCCGATAAATTAGTACACTGGATTCGATTTCATTATATATTAGTAGTAGTATTATTATTATCATTATTATTAGTATTAGCATTAGCATTGGGATTATTGTTAGTATTAGCATTAATATTAGATTTTCATAGGCATATAAATCAATAGTATTAGTATTAGTATTACTATTAGTAATAATATTAGTATTAGTATTAGTATTAGTATTAGTATTTGTATTGGCATTCGTATTAGTATTAGTATTAGTATTAGTATTAGTATTAGTATTAGTATTAGTATTAGTATTAGTATTAGTATTAGTATTAGTATTAGTATTAGTATTAGTATTAGTATTAGTATTAGTATTAGTATTAGTATTAGTATTAGTATTAGTATAAGTATTAGTATTAGTATTAGTATTAGTATTAGTATTAGTATTAGTATTAGTATTAGTATAAGTATTAGTATTAGTATTAGTATTAGTATTAGTATTAGTATTAGTATTAGTATTAGTATTAGTATTAGTATTAGTATTAGTATTAGTATTAGTATTGCTATTAGTATTGGTATTTGTATTAGTTTAGTGATGTATGGTATTCTTCATTTCCTGTTGAAAACATCGTTCTATCAAGGTAGTGGCGTATACTTCGTATCTCTTTTGAAATTTTTAGACGTAGTATTTTTGTTTAAGTATTGTACGTCACCGTTTGGAACCCGTCAGTGACAAACTTGCAGGTTATTTGAATAGCAACTGCGTGACTTCTCTGGTACCGTATTTGTTGTTAAGTCAGTTATTTTGCATAAGATTTACATGGTGTGGTACATTGTATTCCATGAAATGGTTGTACTATATGTTTTAAATGATTTCATTTAATTTTCATATCGTGTTTTCTTCTTTGTAATATTTAATTGCACATTATATGTTACAACTTTGGATTAAAAGATAAAGTTTATCTTTCTTTGATTCTCATTCATTTTTTTTCTACTTGAATTAGATTTGTTACAAAAAGATAATCACTTACATAGTACTATTTTCTCATTTTGAACAGACATTCGTGCAACGCACGGGGAAGTACTAGTATTACTAATATTACTTTCCCGAACAGAAATATTATTAATATTACTATCCCGAACAGTAATATTACTAATAGAGGTTTTTGTGCATAAGTCTTTGACCAACCATCTTTATTATTCTAGGTTCCCGGGCTTATATCTCTTTCGCCAATAAGCCCATCGAATTTAATATGTATTATAAATAACTGAAATGTTAAATCCCACACCAATTTTACAAAATCATGCGCACAGCTGAAAAAAAAATTATCTCTAAATTATTCTCCTCTTCTTCCCCACCCTTATTTTTTTGGGCTAACTTTTTCACAAAGTCACACACTAAAAACATCCCTAGTATTTCAAGTTCGAATTTGAGAAAAATCTTCACATGTTCAAACTAAAATAAAGTTGGAATTTGAGGAAAAAATTCGAATCGATATGAATTTGAATACTTAAAAAGGCATAATGAAATTGAATTACTAAATAAAACTGAACTCCTTTTTAATGATTATTCACGTAAAAAAATTACTGAATTTTGAGTGATTTGGATAAATCACAGAGAGAATATAAGTAGAGAGAGATTTTTTTTAAAATTTATGTATGGGATTTAGTAATTTTTAGTGTGAGATTTAGCACGCCCCTATATATAAAGGAAAAATTAATGTATATGATAAAATCCCCCCCCCCCCCCCCTCCCCCACAACCATATACACTCAATTCTTAATGGTAACTCCAATTTAATCAATTTTGACCACAAAAATCCAATTTTGACTTTTTTCTGAAATTATTTTTTTGCCAGTGGTTTCTGGCGTTGACTTTTTTGAATTTTTTTATGTCTGCTTTTTCCGCCGCCAGTCTCCTTCGTTGACTTTTTTTACTGTAGATTTTTCTTAAAATTTGTGTCCGTTTTTTAACACCGGCCGCTAAACATTGACCGTAATTGTATTGTCATTCACAGTAATTATACTGTCGCGGACAGTAATTGTACTGTCGTTGACAGTACATTAACGTAATCATACTGTAATTGACAGTACATTTATGTAATTGTATTGTTGTTGACAGTACAATTACAATCAGCGACAATATTATTATTTTTTTAATTTTTTTTTTGTTTGATTTGTTGGCAAGTGAACGTAAATATATTACTGTTGTTGGCGGTAAAATAATTGTATATACAATAATATTACTATCAACCACATCAATATTATTTTTCTTTTGGGTTTTTTGTTTTGTTTGAGTTGTTGACGGATTAACGTAATAATATTAATGTCTACTATTGTAATTTATCGTAAACACGATAATATTACTGTGGTGGACGGTAATATTACTGTTGTTACAATAATATTACTGTGGATGACAGTAATATTACTGGCAACCACATCAATATTAATTCTTTTAGCTTTTTATTGTGTTTACCTTAGTTGAACGGTCAACATATTAATATTACTCTATTACACAATAATAATGATTTTTGTTGTGTTAATATTATTGTGATAAAGATTAATATAACAATAATAGTTAATATTACTGTGTTTAACAGTAATATAGTTAATATTACCACAGCAATATTGTATTTTAAATGGGACAAAAAGTTGTCAGAGAAAAAAAATTTCAAAAAAAAATTCGTAAAAGTCAACGCGCGGAAACCGGCGGATAAATCAGGAAGAATAAATAAAAAGAGAAAAAAGAAAATTCAACGGCGATTGACCGGCGGCGTCGTGCGAAATTGTACTCAAAATTGAGTTTTAGGTCAAAATTGAATAATTTGTGAAATTTGGGGTCAAATTGAGCTAAATTAAATTAAATAATGAAATTGGAGCATATTAAAATGTGAGGTCTTCGGCGGTGGCGGTCAAAATTGGTTAATTGGTGAAATTGGGCTTAATTGGGGTGTAAATCATTAAATTGGAGATGAATTAGGACTTCAAGGAGTTCGAGGTAATTTTGGTATATATAAAAGAGTTTGCCTCATTTGCAAATAAGTTTGAATGAGGTGGATTTATTTGCAAGATAAAAAAAGTTGGATGCCCATTTTTTTAATTAAATGCTCTTATCGTGGGTCTATTTGCCATTTGCCCATTTAGAAAAAATATGTATTTTAAAAAATGGGAAGAATGCTAAAATCAGGGTGTTTATGGAAATTGGTGGGTTTTGGAAGTTAATTAAAAAAAATTGGGCTTGAAATCCATGGGTCATAAAAATTGCAATACATGTTATAGATAGGGCCGGCAATGAGCCGGGCCTACCCAAAGCCCAATGGATTGGCGCGATTTTATTTGAGCCGAGCCCGATTAATTGTGAATCAGGTCGAGTTTGAGTTTTTTTATTAAACACGATTAAACTATGGACCGAGTTTGAGCTTACCATGATGCAGCCCGATTAAATTAATAATTAAGTAAATATATTGTCAATTATTTGCACGTCTCAAGATTTCCGAAAAGAGTTAGGACGACATTTAGAATTGCTTCTATTTATCTTATTTTGTGTTTCTTTATTTTGGACTCAAATATATTTTTTCCATATTAAATTTCCTTTGTTTTAATGAACAGACTATGACTTTTTTATTTTATTTTTACTTTCAATGAATATTCAAAATTTTGTGTTCAGACAGCGATTTTTTTTTTAATATATTCGACTGCAAAGTTGTGAAATATGTAATTTATTTATTGCCCGATACAAGTCCGATATAAATTCGAAGCTTAAAAAAATACGTTAGCCGAGTTCGAGTCTATAGGCATGAGGCTCAATGGTATTTGGGCTCAATGGTATTTGAGCTTGAGCCTATAAAAACGAGATCCGATGATAAATGAGTTTGTACCGACCCAAAACTCAGCTCATATGGTTCGATTGTCAGCCCTAATTATAGATTTTTTTTTTTTCCCTTTATTCCTAAAAATCTCTTGTGTTTTGTCAATAAACCACTACTATAACACTAAAACGGAACCAATCCCCTTAAAAGTATAAAATTATTAATTGCATATTAACCCAAAAGTCAAATTCATCTTTCAATCGAACTATTTAAACTTTTCTTTTCCCCAACCGTAACACACCTTTATAATAAATGCACATTCAAGATCAACTGTTAAGATTTGAAGTTTATATTTTCTCCAAATAATGAAATCATAATCATTGTACGTTTATTATTACTAGACTTCAAATGCCACAATGCATCACATAAAATTTTCATCTTCACAAAGAAAAACGGAAAAGAAAATGTTAATATATTTTCAGACGAATGGGAATTGCAATCGTTTTCTTACCTAACCATGAGTTACAGATGATGTTCTCGACCAACATAACAGCTCCAAGATAGTAGTATGTGTGCCGTGTGGCGATATGCCACGAGAAAATAAATCTCTGAATAGGAGTGCCGGCAAATAAATAATTGAGTCATCTAATAGTTGAGCGAGATGAACCACTCCTTGAAAAAGAATTTTCCAGCTTCAAGATTGACTCGAATTTGTGGAGATATTTAAGTGCTTTTGTCTGCAGAAGATGCAGCAATCAAAGGAAGTTAAAATTCTCAAATAAAAACTGCAACGAACGAAGATACTTTTAAACAGCAGACGCATTTCCTCCAATTTAAAGTAAGAATGAAATGAGTATAATTTTCTTGAGAGAGAGAGAGAGAGATTTTGTTACCTTCCAGCGTCTTTTAGCAACAATATGCTTGAGCATTTCATCCAACTTGAGAATTATTTCCTTGAAAGTAGGTCTCTTCGATGGCTTCTGATCCCAGCACTCCTCTATTAACCTGTTAAGAAGCGGTAACGCCAGGTTAAGGTCGTAATGCATAAGAAACGGAAAAATATTACAAGTTTGTCGGCTTATGAGGATTTAATCGAGTTGATTGTTTAATTGAGGGATGTTCAAGGATATGTAGGGACAACTTAAGAGAGGATGGGAACGCGGAATCCAAGTAGGAGTTTGGATCTCTTTTGACATACAATATAGAATGAAATAAATAACATGTTAAGTAATGGTTCTGAAGAACGAAACCCGATACTGGAATATGACCATCTTGCCCTAGACTTGAAAAAAATAGAGGTCAAATCATCAATCTATTGGATGGCCATTGTGCTCCTAAGTTCCTCGATAACGTTTACTTATTTGAAAGAGATGTATTTGTAATGTTTGAAAGTTGAAGGAGTCGAGAGTATATACATACATAATCAAATATTGCCCATAATTTTTCAAAATACGAGTATTCAAGACGACATTTTTTCCCTGAATTACATCGAGTGTTTAGATATTTGAATTGGCATTTCAAAATTAAAAATCAATAGTGTTGTTATGATTCAAATAAAAGAGGTCTAATCATATAAATATTCAAATAGACTTGCCCTGCCTCCACTGGCAGCTACAATAGTTTTTGAAATTACTTGCACACCCCTTCAAGCTTACAAATGTTACAAGGGTATTTCAGTTCAAATAAAAAGTCAGCAAATTTAGTCAAGGGGTAAAATAAGTTCAACTTAAAAAAATTGGGATGATGTCATCAGTTTCCGTTCAAATTCTTACAGACAATCGAACAAGGGGTGTCGTGATAATTTTTTTATGTGAGAGTATACCAAATAGTAATTACAGCATTTAAGAATGCAATTTGAAAGTAGGCAATTACAGAATTACACATCTTACCAGTTGCGTCAAAACATCTCGTTCCACTAGATAAGTTAACTTTCAAATTTTGGTAGGGAATAGCAAAGAATATATGTTGTCCGAATATAAAACAGAATACTACTAAAGCAAATTAGAAATATAGCATCAACATCAAATAATCAAATAGTAGATTAAAAAAGAAACAAAGAACTGAGATGTAAATGCAAAACAAAAATGCGCTTACTCGTTCTTCGCAAATGTAAAATATAAAATGATCCGAGTACTCAGTAATTGAAAACCATGCAGATAATAGTAACTTGCATATTTGAATCACCAGCCAGCATTTTACATAAGCCTTTCAAAGAAAATTTCGTAAACAAACTCTAACATGACAAGAGAAATTCATTATTATATTAGTTGATAAGTTTAACGGCCCCCCAGATGAAAGGAACTCGTGGTTAACAATTTCTCATGTTTTTTTTCTTGCCCGTATCATGTCCAAGGGGAAAAGAAGAGGAAAAGCCACTACACTTGCTAATTCTTCGGACATCGATGAAAGAAACAAGCTACCATTAATTACATAAGAGGATAAAGTTGTCTTTTCATGAATCATGTGATATGCTCATGAAAATAAATCGTGCTGCATGACATTTGTTGGTTGGCAGATTCATTAACAAGCTTTGACAAAACATATATTTATCATAAACCACGGAGCAAAAGTAGATTCTTTATTCAAACTGGAAAATTGGAACTAGTAAACGAGGCTTACTGTCTTAATCCGTAGGCATAATGCTTAACTGGAGCTTCAAAAGGGGGGCGCTCATTGTCAACATATGCTTTAGCAACTTCGATTTCCTTCCTTTTCGCAAATGGTGGGCAACCTTCAATCATCTGTGGTAAGATAGAAAATTCAAATAGAAATCAAATTAAAACTGATATAGGGAGAGACATTGTTATGCACGAAAGTAACTGCAATCTGGAAGATCCTCCATAATTTGGTAATAGACAGAGGGAAGGGAGGGAATCGGTGATTGGAGAAGAAACTACACTATTTTTATATGGAGAAATTTTGGTGATAATTATTATTTTAACAGTTTCATTTACCAGATACCACCACTTTCTTCTATTTCACTCGTAGCAAGAGATAAGGAAGAAAGGTTATTCAGAAGCATTTACCTCCTGCAATATCAATGCAAATGAAAACACATCCACCTTGGTATCATATTCCTCATTTCTAAAAACTTCTGGAGCTACGTACCGCCCTGATTTTGAGATATAAGTCATTTTCCACACGTTCAATAAAACTGTCGCACATGATTGCTTTTAAGAGAATAGTCACACACACACACAAACACATCTTCAGTGTCACGTGAATTTTAAAAAGTCTAGGAATTAACAGGATCTAAAACCACAACCCAAGAAGCAATAACAATTGCATGCAAGGTAGTCAAAATCGGGATTTTAAGTTAAATCGGAGAGGGGTAATAAAATCAGAAACGTAAAATCGGATCGTAAAATCGTAAGATTTTACATGTATTGTAAGATAAAAATATTTAGTACTTACTACTTAGAAAACATCCGTAACACAAATAAAATAAGTCATAGTATGCATAAAATATGTCCTAACAAATATAAAACATCCCAACATTAATTAAACATAGTCTAACATAAATTGTGTTCGGAGATAACTGAAAATGACACTCACAACCACTGGATGTTTTTTAGCAGAAGAGAATTATTTTCTTCTCGTCGTGATAGATTGTTATTTTAGGGCAGGGCTGAGCTTTATATATTCTGGATTATTTGGTAATTGGCTAAAAAAAATTAGTTAAAAAACTGAATTTATGAGGCCAAAATTCAAAATTTCAGCCCAATTCTTGACAAAAACCAAAATCGCCAAAATCGCACTAAAATCGCGTTTTTAACGATTTTAACAATTTTCAACGCGATTTCACACGATTTTAAGGCACCTGCGATTTTAGTGCGATCTTACTCCTTTTCAGTGTCTAAAATCTTAAAGTCTTACGATTTTACGATTTAGATCTCGATTTTAACTACATTGATTGCATGCCTTAGCAATATTATTTCAGTTATGTTTTGAATATGATGACACTTCTCTTCGTCTAAATAATAAAATATGGAAGCCTACACGAGATCATCAAACATGTAAAACCAAACTTGTATGATAGAGAAGTCAAAATATCCTGTGTTGCACTTCAATAAAATTGCATGAGTAAATATGTAGACAAGATACTTACAAGAAGTTTGTTGGGAAGACAAAGGCTTATCTTCTTTAATTGTTTTAGCAACTATAATCAGCTTGCTTAGCCCAAAATCTGCAACTTTGAGATGACCAGAATCATCCCTCAAGATGTTTCTGTCATCAATCGCATTCTATCAGAAGCCAAAAAAATTCGCACAAATTCTTAAAGACCATCTTTTAGCAATTAGCGAAAGATAAAGTTACGTGGCGACTATGAAACAATGAAATTGACGCGGAGGAAAAAAAAAGAGAGAGAGAGTACATACGATGGTTCAAGATCTCGATGAATTATAGCTTCAGGCTTATGCTCATGCAAGTAGTTCAATCCTCTGCAGTTAAAAAATATGAAAGTAAAAACAATTTGCAGTTATCAAGTCAAAAAGACTCCATGGTTCTTAAACATATCAAAAAAGTGAGAAAATACGGGTGCAACTCATCATCAACTGTTGCATACTCCTTATTCTTAAATTTAAAAAAATTAATAATAATAATTAAAAAAAAAAAAAAAAAAAAAAAAACAACAACAACAATAGCGGCTGAAAAGTCTTTTCCTTCTCCTAAAATATTTTATTTGATTTTTTGTTAGAATTTAAATTTGCCAATTTGCTGGGCTGTTACAATTTATATTTCTGGAATTATCACCCTCACTCCTACCTAGCTTTTGAAGAGGAGTTTTACCCAGAAACGATTACCAATTTTGCAACAAGTTTGAAATTGCAGCTGATACACTAGGTATAATGTAAAAATGCATAAAAATTCCTCCAAACAGAAGAAAAAAAATATTGATACATAAACTAAGATGAAATTTTTTTATACGGAAAAATTGAATGTATAAAGAACATTTGTGACAGCGTAAGATGTCATTGCTTTCAACAGTTGGTGATCCACCACCTGCTAATTAAAAAAAATACTGCTAAATTTACAGCAGAAAATCCTACCTTGCAATATCAAGGGCAAACTTGATAGCCGTTACCAGCTTTAAAGAACCGCGCTTTTTCAAGTATGCCCCAAAATCTCCCTGTGTAGAGAATGACATAACGACATTTTAAAGCTTAATACCCTCAAAAGAGTTCAATTTGTAACAAGGTTTAAATATCAGATTATTTCTTTTGATGGGAAAAGACAAAGATTGCTTTATGGGTTTTCTTAATTCGACTGGATGAAAAATAACTATAAACTATGGAAAAAGTCATAACAAGAAGGCTACAATATCTAACAATACAAGTTTCAATTAAAACTTAGATACCTTTGGTAGAAATTCAGTAACAATCATCATTGGTGTACTTTGTGTCACAGCACCAAGAAATTGGACAACATTTGGGTGCCGCATCTTCTGAAGTAGAGAAAGCTCATCCCTGAACGCGTTTCTGAAAATCGAAACCCACCCAGTGAAATAGAAGAATCAGTGATCACAGGTACATAGGTACGACATAAATAGAAGATGAAGAATCAATAACAAAATAAAAAAAAATTATATCTGCTACATGTAAACAACCCACACTTTCTCTTCGTCGATGAAAAATTCCTCACCAAATTTCTTAACAGCAACTTGAATACCGCGCCATGACGCAATGCAAAATGTTCCCTGTCGCACATTATGCAGACAAGAATAAAACTAGTTAGAAACATCTTTGCAATTTTTACATGTTTTTTTTAATTAATAATGAAGATGTTATATTACCTTTGTTATTTCCACACTGTTAGTAAAATCTAGCTCCTTTGGATCAATTTCATACTCGGGAACTTCACGTGCATCTTGGACATGCATGGGAGCCATCTAACAAGAAACATAAGAAACCATCTAATGCTTCATGCTTAATTATTCAATAGCACAGACACAATTGCAAATTTAAGAAAATAAAAAAAAATACAGAATCTAAAAAATGAAAAAAAAAATAAATAAATAAAATAAAGACAAAGAAAAAGAAAAAGAAGAGAACATCAGGACACAATTTGGAGTTTCATGAAAAGCCTGTAACACTTACCGGAGGTTTTGCGCCATGTGCCTCCAAAAGCTTAATCACATCATTGTTTTTGTAGTAAATTGCGTCTGCGAGAGGCTATTCAATTAAACTCTGTCATTACCGTGGCTACTAATAGCTCAATAAGAAATTGACTAGTCAACGCATTTGAAGTATTTCATGAGATACAGTGATACATGTCTTAAACTTCTCATCACTTGACTTCCTAAATTTCTCCAATAAAAGGAGCTCTTCATTTAAACTCCCGCTAAATTTCATGTATAATAGAAAACGAAGCAGGTCACTTATCTTCGCAGTATTTCACTAGTTGACAATTATCATTGACAGGATTCAGCAAATAAATAAAACAAATGACAGAGAGTTCATCTAAAGTAGGTTGTTACTAAAACTTTCCAGCACTCGCGTGGCAAACAGCACTACAAAATTAAAGCCATATTCGAAATTCTGAAGAAGAAGAAGAAGAAATATAATTATGTGCAACAGAAGCATTATTTATGACGATAATTGCTGATGATGAACAAGTGATATCCCACAGCATTAAGCCTATGTTCCCTTCATTTTCCATATTAAAAGTGTTAAGCCCGATACATAGTTAAACTGCAATAAAATCACCAATTGAAACCCAATTCTATTTCATTTCCATTAAACTGCAAATATCTAAAGATCAAACACAATATTCACCAATGGCTGCATAATGCATACACTCACTCGAATTACAGAGGGGGAAAGCAACCATACCGTACTGCCCCATCGGTCCTCGACATCAACCTGGGCGCCGTGGCGTAGGAGCAAGTCAATTGCATCCGTGCGTCCCTGGCACGCCGCCACGTGTAAGGCGGTGCGGCCGTCAATGTCTTTAAAATTGACGGTGGTGCCGGAATCCAGCAGCTCCTCAATCCCATCCAAATCGCCTCCGTTCGCCATGTACATTAACCGTACGCCGGAATCGATGGCGTCATCCAGACCTGCCGAGGCGTCAGAGGCAAGAGAGACGCTGCTTTCAGGGGCGCCGGAGGACTGTCTGCCCAGCGTGAAACGCCGCTGCAGCTTTGAATCCATGGAAATTAACGATTTGGACAAATGTGGAGAGAGAATATAGGGAGATGAGAGAGAGAGAGAGAGAGAGAGGGTTTGATTGTTTGAAGGGAAAGGAGAATTAAAGGAGTGGGGGAGTTGTCTGGCCGGGGCCTAGGAGCTTGTAACAGAAGCCAGTTCAGAGCTTTTGAAACACGACTGGTCGACTAATATTTAAATATTCGCAAAATCGTGAAATACCAATCGACTCCCTCCTACTTCTCTGAATATATAATTCCTACATCTTTTATCCTTTAGAAAAATATAAATTATATAGTTGGGGCCTCTTTGGTTTGAATGTCTTGATATATAAGTTGGGATGAGATACATAATATTGTGATTAAAAGCATGATGACTTATATTAGTCTTATTATTTGATTGGAGTTATGGGGGAGAAACTAGTAATACCTGCAATAATAATATCATGTTTTGTTTGGGTGATAACACAGTTTTCTATTAATTTGTTAGGTAAATTACTGGTTTGCCCCTTTTCATACATTTATCAATTATAACACATTCTCTCTCCATCCAATCATTCTCCTCCTTCTTCGTTCATTTGGGTACAATCTTCTGAATTATTGGGTACAATCTCTCTCTAGTTTTCTCTTTCTCATTTTCCTGTTACAGTGGGTATTGTTTGCAGTGCCGGAGCTGGATTCGCCGCGGTCCCACCCACTGAAGCATTGGGCGGCGTCTATAGCATTAGTGGGACTCGTGTAATTAGGCAACTTATTATCGACTGGGTTTAGCATGTTATCCCAAGAGGAGTGATCCATGGAAGAAGTGGTGTTGTTGTTGTTGGGCAGAGAGCCTTGGTTTAAATCGATTGGTTCAAGAAAGGAATCGAGGGCACTCCTCTCCCGTTGCATATCTTTAATTTGTTGTGCTTCGAACGGGTTTTTTTCGTAATCTGTGGATGATTGAGAAAAATAATTACGAACATCAATGAAGTTTGCGGCATCTATTATTACGAACAGCTATAGCAACACATACTTACACAACAAATTGAACTCAGTTATATTTAAGAAAATCAACCACGATATTAATTTCGCTCCAGGATCTTCAAATTGTTAATCAGAGGTTGGCTGCAATACACTTAAAATCAAGATCGAAATCAAAAATTTATCGAGAATAGGAAGGAGAAAGCATAATTCAGATAATAAAGCAAGTAGAAAATGCAAGCATCATTTCTTGAGTGGCAGTGAATATAAATTTCAAACACTGTCTGCAATTTTTACCTTAATTCAGCATATATCAGAACCACTAATCAACCATTTACCCAGAGATTTTTTTTAATAATTAATAATAAATAAATTAAAATGAGATAATTTTACAAATTTATAATCTACTATGCCAAATTAATAAGTATTAATTTGGGCGAAACAAACAACGAAGATTGTACACCTAAAAGAGCAGATCTCTTTCGAGATTTTCGATCTCAATCTATTGCAGTTCGGAAGAGAAATAATCAATCTCAAAAACATAGAAAATAATTATTAATTTTTTTTTTTAGCAAAACTCAGTTCATCATCATTCAATAAAGAAATTATCACCAAAAAAAATTGAGCAAAATTAATAGTTTGCACTGCACACATCATCATTCAACAAAGAAAATTAGCACTGCACACATCATCACAAAGAAAATTGAGAACGATGAGAAGAAAAGACATTACAATTGTTTATTTTTGGGCTGAGAAATTGCTGCAGATGGATGGTGTAGAAGAGAAGAGAATCGAGTTGTCTAACTGCGTTTGATTAGGTTTTGGTGAAATATATATATATATATATATATATATATATATATATATATATATATATATATATATATATATATATATATATATATACTAGGGTTTAATAATAAAATTGAAGGGAATTAAGCACCAGAAATACGAAAAAATTGGAAAATTGGAGCGACATTGAAAGGTATGTTTTTACCTGGTAAAAAACTAGGGTACAAGAGCCGAAAGGGGAAGATGAAGTATTCACTATTTATACCTATTAATTTCGTAATTGTGCTATATTGGAAGGATATTTTGGATATTTCGCATAGGTTGCAGTATGGGATTGAGTATGTGATAATTAGTCAAGCCAATTTTGGCTTGACTAATAATAATTCGATTGAGGGATTAAATCAGTGGGCCCAACTGTCAAGGATGGTAAAATCAACCAAACCAAACGTTGTACAAATCGATACATCCCATCCCATCCCTTGTAATACTCCCAACCAAAGATGCCCTTGAAGACTAACGTAATTCTATCGAATTAAAGAACTATTAACTTATCGATAAATTAATAGGGCAAATGGCAAAAAGGCCCCTCACATGGGACTTAAATACATTTTGGTTCACAAAAAAAAGTCTCTCAGTTAAACCCATCCCCATGTCTTTAGTCTAAAATACCCTCAATGATATAATTCTTATCAATTCCACCAATTATACTCTAACTTCATTAATATTACACATTGACCCCGAATTTAAACAAATATATCACATTAACCCTCAAAACTTTTTTTTTTCAGAAAATAATTTTTTTTCTGAAATGTTTTTTTTCCGGACAGATTCCGGCGTTGACCGCCGGTCTACGGCGTTGACTTTTTTTTATTTTTTTGAAACTTTTTTTTTCCTGAAATTTTTTTCCAGCCGGTCAACCACCGTTGACCGCCGGTCTCTGGTGTTGACTTTTTTTTTTTTTAATTGTTTTTCTTAGAAAAAAAATATGTTAATTAATATTACTGTCTTGGTTACTAAATTATTGTCTCACACAATAATATTACTGATTGGGACAGTAATATTATGAATATTATTTTTCCAAACAGTTATATTATTAATATTATTGTCTAAGACAGTTAAATTATTGTTCGAGACAGTAATTTAACATCCAAGGCAGTAATATTAATTAAAATAACTTTTTTAAGGAAAAAAAAAAAAAGTCAATTAACAGTTAAATTACTGTCTCCGACAGTTAAATAACTGTCGGAGACAGTAATTTAACAACGAATACAGTAATATTAATTAAAAATATTATTTTTAAGAATAAAAAAGTCAATTAACAGTTAAATTACTGTCTCCGACTGTTAAATAACTGCTAGAGACAGTAATTTAGCAACGAATACAGTAATATTAATTAAAATATTTTTGAAGAAAAAAAAAAACAAAAGAGTCAATTAACAGTTAAATTACTGTCTCCGACAGTTAAATAACTGCCGGAGACAGTAATTTAGCAGTCAAGACAGTAATATTAATTAAAATATTTTTTTTAAGTAAAAAGAAAATTATAAATAAAAAAAAAAAAAAAAGTCAACGCCGGAGACCCGGCGGTCAACGGCAGTTGACCGGCCGGAAAAAAATTTCAGGAAAAAAAAATTCAAAAAAAAATAAATAAATAAAGTCAACGCCGGAGACCGGCGGCGATTGACGGTCTCCGGTGGTGGCGGGTAAAAATTGGGGTCCAAATTGAAATTAGGGTTAAAATTGGCTAATTGATGAAATTGGGCTAAATTGGGGTGTAAATCATGAAATTGGAGTTAAATTGGGTTTCAATGAATTGGGGGTAATTTTGGAATATATAAAAGGATTTTCCTTATTTGCAAATAAGTTTGAATGGGTTGGATTTATTTGAAAGATAAAAAAGTTGGATGTCCCTCTTTTAATTAAGTTCCCATGTCATGGGCCTATTTACCATTACCCCAAATTAATAATTATTAATTGAAACATTAATTAATTGGCGGCGGATATATGCAAGTCAATTTTTTTATTACTTCAAACCCACATAAATGAGTTTATTAATTCAAGCCCGTAAATTAATTTAATTTTATTACATCAAGACCAAACATGACGAATATACCATTATCAATAAATAATACCAAAATACAAACAAACTCTATTTTTCATTTGTTCAAGACCATAAAAAAAGTAGAAAAAACTCTCAATTGCCGCCACCAGAACGCCGAGACATTGACCAGCGAGACTTCCAGCGCGCTGGCGACGACTAGCGACCCACCCACCGCACCATCATCACCACCCCACCACCACCAACAAGTCATTTTTACTAAACTTTTGTTTGTCAATTCAAAACATTAATCGAGCATCGATTCTTGATAAATATGCGTGGATGAACATTAATCTATGCTTACTTCTTGTTGGGTTGCAATGCTTTAGCCGATTTTGGAAAAAAATATTTGAGATTGAAATTGATTTTTTTGTGTGCTTTCGTTGGTTTTCCAAATCGGTTTATCCAGACAAATTTTGTACACGAAAATTGGCGTTACAATGCCGATTTTTTGTTAACCAAATCGGCGACACAACGCCGACTTTACAAGTCAAAATCGGCATTGTAACGCCGATTTTTTTTTATGATTTATGTTTTTATTTGGTTTTGAATTTCAGTAAGGGTAAATTAGTATTTTTATGTTGGAGGTCTTGAACTAATAAAAAAAGGGATTATTTCACAAACACCCCTCATATGCATTGTCCAATTAAGAGAGGTCCAATTTTTTTTTTCCTTTTTTAAGATAAATCCAAAATATTATTTAATTAATTATAAATAATTTAATTCACCCTTATACCATTTACCTAACCCTATAACTCACGTTGTTATTATTTTCTTTTTTTCCTCAGATTTATTTTCTTTCTCTTCTTTTAACAGTAGCCGCCTCCGCCTCTCTTCTCTCGATCTCTTCTCCAAATCTCGGCCCTCTTCGCCGAGGGTGAGAGAACCTGTAACCAATAAAAAAAACTCGGCCCTCTTCGCCGAGGGTGAGAGTTCCCGTAACCAATCAATTTTTTTTCCTCAGATTTCTTTTCTCTCTCTTCTTTTAATAGGCCACCTCTCTTCTCCCGATCTCTTCTCCAAATCTCGGCCCTCTTCTCCCGATTTCTTTTTCCTCAGATATTTTTTAAGAATTTAGGATTAATATATATTTTAATCAAAAAATTGGATATCGTAACCAATTAAGAAAGAAGCTCACCGACATCTAAGCCACCACTGCGCAACCGAGCCATCAGCCGCCGTTTAAAATCCGGCGACGAGTAATTGTCGCCACCGGCGACTTCTGCCAACGCCTCCTCAACCTCAGCATGAATGATGCTTCTGACGGCGTCATCTTGGTCGCAATTAAAAATTTCTTCAGAGAATCTTCGAGTTCGAAATCCGGAGAGTTGTTTTGATCTGATTCGTCATCGTCGTCAATTTCTGGTTACGATGTGTTAATTATGAACATGTCCTGACTATGTTCAGTGGTATTATCTTAAGTGGTTTTCATTTTTTT